GCCACAAATGACATTTCCTACATATAAACCTACACTGCCACTAACTACCATTACACCTGTAACAGAAGAACCAGAATTAACCGTTACTCCTTGTACCAAAAGAAAACCTCATTCATTTAAACATTAAATCTCCACTACACATGACGGCAAAGATGTGTGAGTAATTCCATGTTTCCTATGTATGGACAAAATTAATTATCAACACACACTCACAGCTGTAACTAACTTATATAGCTGTGGCCAAGTTTATCATATCCTTACATCCAGCACAGAGCTGTCTCTCCAATGTTCAGCCAACATATAAAAGTCACCCATCAAACAAACAACACATGTACCTGAAAAGCTAATGTCTAAAACACATAAGTTATCAGTATACTCTGTAATTTTATCTTGATAATTTCTCCTGTATTTATCTATAACACATAAACAATTCAGATCAGCCAAAACCTGTAATGGAGAAAAACCTAGATTCCTGGACACAGACCAGGAGGCATCTAAATTCAGTCATGCTTGAGTGGTTACTGGAAGAAAGCACTGATGTGAAGTGAAGAAGTGAACACTGGAGAGGGAATCTTGAAAACTGGTATAACAGGACAACTTAGCTCAGAAAAAATTATCACTTTATATGGATATAGTAGAGGCAACATTTTAGAAATTACTTTCACAGCAAGACATGATGCTAACACAGAAATGCTTAAAAGACAAGAGCACAACAAGTACATACTAGTAACGCTGGTATTTCAGAGAGAAACATCACAGATACTGGTGTCACAGAAGCTGGTATTTCAGAGAGAAACATCACAGATACTGGTGTCACAGAAGCTGGTATTTCAGAGAGAAACATCACAGATACTGGTGTCACAGACACTGGTATTTCAGAAAGATACATCACAGATACTGGTTTCTCCCACCATTCACAGAGCCTCGGGTACGACAACAAAAAAAATCACCCCTCGAGTTGGAGATTTCTCGATCACACCCTCAGGGTAGGGGAAGATTCTATTAGTCACAGAAGCTGGTATTTCAGAAAGATACATCACAGATACTGGTGTCACAGAAGCTGGTATTTCAGAGAGAAACATCACAGATACTAGTGTCACAGACGCTGGTATTTCAGAAAGATACATCACAGATACTGGTGTCACAGAAGCTGGTATTTCAGAAAGATACATCACAGATACTGGTGTCACAGAAGCTGGTATTTCAGAAAGATACATCACAGATACTGTTGTCACAGACGCTGGTATTTCAGAAAGATATATCACAGATACTGGTGTCACAGAAGCTGGTATTTCAGAGAGAGACATCACAAATACCAGTGTCACAGACGCTGATATTTCACAGAAACATTACATACTAATATATATATTGCAGAAACAGGAAGCCAGACAGGAATATTGTGTAGAGTCAGAGAAATGTTTTTTTCACCTTATTTCATGGCATAGATTGTCTGTTATTCAGGAAAAAAATTAAGAATAATTTATGGAAATTAATTATTTCCTGTTACACATTTTCTGACACCTGTATCGAAAAAGTAGTGCAACAACATAATGATTTTTTTTTCATCAAAGAAGTTAAATACTGGATTTATTTTAACTTCTCAGAGGAGAACGTCCTTAATTCTAGTCTGGCCTGATCAATAGGGACAAAATCTTGTATGTCAGTGACTGTTTAATTGTTTTACATTGAGAACACTTTGTTAAGGCTGACCTGTGGCTTACAATCATGAAAGTACACAAAGGAGGTATGATCTCAAGGTTATGCACCTCAACATTTGGTAAATTCAACTTTGCTTTCTTTTTCAGATTATCAAAATGAAGTGATATTAAGTGAGGTTTATATAACACTAGTGATATCAATAAAAATGTTAAGAATTGTAAGAGAATATAATGGGGAAAAAAGTTTTAAGAAACAGTGTTATTTGTACAAATGTGAAATTTTAAACAGTAAAATTTACATTAAAATACTAACAAAGAAACACAGTACAACATTCACAAAAACTAACAGTTATAATCTGTGAAATGTAGTACTCTACAACATTATAACAAACTTGTGTAACAAGTGGTGTAATACACTATACAGTTACTGTACAACATGATCAGAATCTATCACCCATGCATAGAAGCAAGGCTATATCTTCACTGTTAAAATGCTTTTTAAAATTAATTGCATCAGGAATCCATATTCTTTTAGTGGAAGACCAAATGTTTTCCCTTAATGTGTTTCCTATAATCCATTCATGTTAAAAGATTTCCTTAAAAGGAGGATATAAGAAAAGCAGTAAGACATCACTACAGAGACACTCAGTCGACTACATCTACCACACATAATATCTATGCAGTAAGTGGTATTCAGAGAATGCCATTCAGTCCCATGCACAAATGCAAGAGAATTTCAGCGCACCTGAATAATGAAATACAGTAATCCAAGGGGCAGAAGGACACTAAGAAACAGGGGTGTGCTGTAACCAATGACTATGGGCACTGACAGCACACGCAGCAGACACGCCAACCAAGCCTCAAACGTCCTTGGTATTGTTACATCCAGAACATCAATATCTTTGCTGAATCGATTTATCATCCTGCCTAGGGGTGTAGTATCAAAAAATTCCATCGGGGAAGCCAAGATATTTTTCAGCATAGATGCATGCAGGTGTCGACCAGCCACGACATTGCCTACATACAGGCACAGACTAGCAAGAACAATGACCAAACCTGTAAAAAGTACAAGTGTATTACCAATGGGATGGACACAGCTTCAACAGGTCACCCAAACACATGTTAATACTTCTATATATAAATAAAGTTAAAAAATCACATTTAATCACAAACCATTTTCCTGAAAAATACACATTAAAACTGAAATAAAAACATCACGTTAAATTTAAAAAAAATATTTAAGAATTCATTGGATTTATATGCAACTTCTATGTTTATGTATGTTTTTTTTAATGATTGTGGTAAATTACAGAATTTTTGTTAACTTACCTCCCAAAATAAACATATCAGGACTGAAATGTTTCTTTGACATTTACAATACTATGGAAAAGGCAGCAGCATGATGGGGTTGTATTTAAACAAAAACCTGATACACATACTACCATCAATGTCAATCATTGTCTCTGAAACTGTCTTATTGTTTCTCTTGGTTCGATACACAATTAGATCAAGCTGTTTTACATAAAAGTACAACAGCCAGTTTTGTATTATCGAGGTTTGATGATTTGTTTCAATTTAGTGACAAACATTAGTCAGAACTATTTGAGAACTTCCAAAGAAGTTGAAATTTGCATTACATCAGGACAACTCTACCGCCAATACCAACGAAATGTCACAGTTTATCCAACTGGAACATAAAATCTGAAGCTTAGAGAATAGCTGTAATGGTATAAAAAATTGTCGCAAAAATCATTTTGACATGTTGAATTTTGAGGATGAATTATAATACACTAAAATAAATTGTATCCAATGAGCCAGCATCAGACTAATAATATGTAAATTGTGTTTCTGGAAAGTTTTTCACAATACAACAGACATTACAAGGATCTATCATTATCAAGAAAAACAATAGTCTCAGTCCAATGTAAGGTCAGTAGTGTTCAAACAGCTTCTGAACCCCAGTATGTTAAGTGGTGAGGGTTTGACTCTTCCTTGTTCAAAGGCACAAGTTTGAAAGTGATAACCCTGGGAGTTGGCTGGTGTAGAATTTAACACCTGCATGTTAAGTGTAGACCTGAAGCTGTGTATGTTGATAGATAAAGGCTTAAATCCATATATGTTGGTAGCTACCAACGTGAACCCCTGTATGTTGATAGGTACAGACTTGAACCCCTGTATGTTGATAGGTACAGACGTGAACCCCTGTATGTTGATAGGTACAGACCTGAACCCCTGTATGTTGATAGGTACAGACCTGAACCCCTGTATGTTGATAGGTACAGATTGAACCCCTGTATGTTGATAGGTACAGACCTGAACTCCTGTATGTTGATAGGTACAGACCTGAACCCCTGTATCTTGATAGGTACAGACCTGAACCCCTGTATCTTGATAGGTACAGACTTGAACCCCTGTATCTTGATAGGTACAAACTTGAACCCTTGTATGTTGATAGGTACAGACTTGAACCCTTGTATCTTGATAGGTACAGACCTGAACCCCTGTATGTTGATAGGTACAGACTTGAACCCCTGTATGTTGATAGGTACAGACTTGAACCCCTGTATGTTGATAGGTACAGACCTGAACCCCTGTATGTTGATAGGTACAGACTTGAACCCCTGTATGTTGATAGGTACAGACTTGAACCCCTGTATGTTGATAGGTACAGACTTGAACCCCTGTATGTTGATAGGTACAGACTTGAACCCCTGTATGTTGATAGGTACAGACTTGAACCCCTGTATGTTGATAGGTACAGACCTGAACCCCTGTATGTTGATAGGTACAGACCTGAACCCCTGTATGTTGATAGGTACAGACTTGAACCCCTGTATGTTGATAGGTACAGACTTGAACCCCTGTATGTTGATAGGTACACGCTTGCCACTTTATATGTTGATAGGTACAGACCTGAACTCTTGTAGGTTGATAGGTAGAGGCTTGCACCCCTGCATGATTGCAAGTAGAGGCTTATCGCCTTTATGCTACTAGGTGCAGGTTTGAGAATTGATCTTTTGACAGGTAATGGTTTGAACCCTTGTGTGCTGGAAGGTGTAAGTTTAAACCCTAAAGTTTTGAATTATATAGGTGTAAGCCTAAATGTGCTGAAAGGTATGAGTTAACGCCCTGGTATACTGGCATGTGTGTTTTTAAACATTGATGTACAAGTAGGAGTGAAATTGACTTCAAGCCTTAGGGTAGCCTGTATTTGTGACCTCTGAAGATGACCTTGAAATAATTGGGTAAATATTGTCTATTTCATCCATCATGGAAGTATTGATTAAGCAGAAATAGAGATACATTATTGTGTCACAATCACCAATGTTTTTAAAAACCTACCTTGAATAAAGCCAAGTGCGCCGTACACACCCAGACGAAGGTCCCGTTGGGCAGTGTCTATGGTGCCATTAACAGCCTCAGCCTCGTCATTGCTCCACTCACTGAGCCAGATATTAGAGTATACACTGGTTATATTATACATTATGTAGAACATAATGATGATACAACTGAGGAATGGTCCCACAGATTTCAGATAAGACAGGAACACAGACAGCTTCACCTGTGTTACATTGGAAAACATATTTAATGGATGTTTAACAAGTAGAGTAGTACATAATAAAATATATTTAATTGACTTTCAAGTTGTATTACAGAGCAATACATATCTATTGGACCGTAACTTGTGTTACAGAGCAATACATATCTATTGGACCGTAACTTGTGTTACAGAGCAATACATATCTATTGGACCATAATTGTGTTACAGAGCAATACATATCTATTGGAAACCGTAACGCCCTGGTATACATGTGTGTTACATTGAGCAAGTAGGAGTGAAATTACATATCTATTGGACCGTAACTTGTGTTACAGAGCAATACATATCTATTGGACCGTAACTAGTGTTACAGAGCAATACATATCTATTGGACCGTAACTTGTGTTACAGAGCAATACATATCTATTGGACCGTAACTTGTGTTACAGAGCAATACATATCTATTGGACCATAACTTGTGTTACAGAGCAATACATATCTATTGGACTGTAACTTGTGTTACAGAGCAATACATATCTATTGGACCGTAACTAGTGTTACAGAGCAATACATATCTATTGGACCGTAACTTGTGTTACAGAGCAATACATATCTATTGGACCGTAACTTGTGTTACATAGCAAAACATGTCTATTGGACCGTAACTTGTGTTACAGAGCAATACATATCTATTGGACCGTAACTTGTGTTACATAGCAAAACATATCTATTGGACCGTAACTTGTGTTACATAATGAAACATATCTTTTGGACGTAACATAAAATACAATCCCGATTTTCTCCTAGATAACTGAGATGTCATGTTTAATGAAACTAACAAGTATGTAACTGGTTAACAACTTTTACACATGAGAATCAAATACACAGTCACCTCTATACAAATATTTCAATCACTCCATTGTTTTGATAAGAGAGATATTAGTGGAAATCTTCCAATATTCATTATATTTTTTTTGTGTCTGATCACATTCATGTAAAACAACTGAATTCAAACAATTTGATTTGAATAAGAGAAAATCAATATAACTGAAGATCTGGTGACTTTCATTAAGTATGTGATATATTGTAGAAAGAACTAACCAAGGAATGCCTACACTGGTATAAACTGTCTACAGAATTTCTACAACAAGAAAATTACCCGGCCAGTCTCTACACTCTCTGCTTGGATGAGTTTGTCTTCCTTTTTCTTTTCCTGCAATTGACGTTTCAGAATTTCTGCCTCCTTCTCTTCCTTAGAAACAGGGTGCTCAGATTTCTGTCGCATCAATTTTGGCGATGTAGGGAACTTTGGTTGGGAGCCTTTCCATGACACTGGTGTTTCTGCTCGTGGCACATCACCGTCCAACTCCTGAGAACCTCCAGACATGGTTCTCAATCTACTAGATATCACAGACACTTGCCTAGAGAACAGTGACATATAAATGTAAACAAATGCTGAAATATTCCCAGAAATATCAAAACTGAAATATGTAACTTGTTTTTCTAAATTCAAAGTAAACAAAAAAAAAAAAAAAAAAACAAATAATGTTAAAATAAAAAGAAGAAATTGTCTTTTATATAGGAAGTTTCTGTTTGCACTGTAAGGATGGAGATGATTGTTATGTGTATATACTTTATACTAATTGGACATCCTTATAATGATAACATACTTCTGTAGTTTAGCTGTGCGATCATCCTCCATGATTGATCCCAGCTGAGACACAATTTCCTCAGCCATCTTTAAATCTGAAATAAACAATGAATATCAACAAATTAAAAATAAAATGAATTCAGTAATACATTGTTGTAAAAGGAAGATTTTAGAGTCAATACTTCATTAATACTCAATCCTACTCTGACTAGCAAACACCTATTTCATAAAAGAACATAAATGATATATTTGTTGATTTCAACTCCACTCTCTGTTGTATATTGGTTAAAGTTGTCTGTATGTAATTAATTTGGATAACATCCCTCATGAACAATCTTTTCACTGTATACTGTTAGGTACATGTTTCTTACCTATGATTTACCTTTGTGATATATGATTGACCTTTGTGATATACGATTGACCTTTGTGATTGACCTTTGTGATATATGATTTACCTTTGTGATATATGATTTACCTATCTATCTGATATATGTGATTTACCTGTGCTTAAACCTGTGCATTATCTAGGCTAAAACTTTATCTAAAGGGATTTTGACTTTACAATAATTATTACAAAGTATTGGAAATTACCAATGAGTAAATGAATTTAATTAAATCATTTGACAAAACCAACCTTATTCCATAACCTTATTTCCACATTCATCCTACCGTTGGAGATACTTTAATACAAACTTCTGAGTATCAATTTTTTTAAGAAAAAAGGACAAGGTTTTGTGGCGATGTCTTCTTATGAGCTGTACATATTCCAATTATTGTAAACTTTCTATTGAAACTGCATATATACTAGTAACAGTTTCAACAAAATAGTATAAAGGTACATAAACAGTATAAAATAACTGAAAACATGGCAGTGAAAGAGTTAGATGTATAACAGTACTGTGTGTTATAAGGGTCTTTATGTTTACTGGTCGTGAAGGTATTTAGAATACCTTATCAATCATTAGTATCTGCCGATGAGAAACTAGAATAATGACACTTCAGAAAGACCCCCCCACAATAGGTCTGACTCTAAACCTCCATTTAACCAGAAAGTTATACTGATAAAGTATTACTGCTTGTTTAATGGCATAAAATTAATTAATTAATCAATTAATTAATAGCATTTTAGATTGTGTGAAATGTGATGGGATGGACTATCCTTAGTGATTCTTACATTTTTTATATCCTCCAACTGCAGAGTGTCTATTCATTCAATTTCAGTAAGTCTTGATTCTTTATACAATGCGTTTATGATTTTAATTAATTTTGCTTTATAATGTCACATTAAAATATTTGCCTGAAAAATAATAAAAATTTACCAGGACCTTTGAAATAGTGACCTTGACCTAAAGATAGGTGATTTTTGTTAACTTCATTTCATAATGTCAAAACAAAATATCTATAAGTAATGTATCACAAATGACCTTGACATTTGACCTGGTGACCTTAATATGTAGTATGGCAACTTTTTGAATTCCATCAAATTCACTTCAGAATCAAAATGTCATAAAAGAATATTTATTGGTAACAAATTTATATAAATTATGTATTTTAACTGTATATTCACAGTCCTAGTTTTAGTAACAGTGACTCTGACCTTGAGAATTTTTCAAACCCTGATTGTGCATCTAATATCACAGTGTATCGTCATGTGAAAATTCGTAAATTTGGCTTTCTGTATTCTGAAATAATCTTCAGAAATCAAAAGTGCTGACAGAAAGATGGTCAGACACCATGATTACTATTGGGCACTAGCATTTGCATGCAGAACCCTTACTTCTGATAGCCCTACCTAGATACCCCTCTAACATAAAATCTACCCCTCTATATAGACAGATGGAGCTGACTACATCAGTGATAAGTATGAATCCACCCACTCTGTCTGATCAAACCTATCCATTTGGAATTTAACCTCCAGTTCAGACAAGCTTCATTGAGAATTATCCCCAAGTTTAATCTATCCAATCCTCTCCTGAATTTAGACTAATCAAATTCACCCGTTCTGGAATTTACCCTATCAGCCTAATCATGCCTGTTTTCTCTGGTTTTTACACTGTATAAGTTTTAACAAGCTCTCTGCTCCTTTCGTGAATAAAAAAACTCTTAATCTAACCAAACTTGTCTTCTCTGGGATTTACCAGAGTCTGATCATGTCTGTTGTCGCTGAGATTTACTTCCTGTGTCTTATCAAGCCAATTGTTTTTATATATTATATACACCTTATATTTATTCCTTTATATAATCATAACCAGGCTATTCTAAGATATCTGTGGTAGATCTCATACACAGCTGGACTCAGGACTGTACAGTGTTATTTTCATTTTACAATACGCTTAGTATCAACTTCCTCTTTGCTTTAAAGTTTTTTATGTTTTAAAACATGAATAGTTAGTTAAACAATGATATATATAGGCCTAGTTAAAGGCATGATGGGTACAAAACATGGACACGGAGTTAAACAAGTTAAAATCTCCTTTTAACATATACTTTGTAGACTTAACTAGATCATATTAAAACACCATATAGATACCACACTTATTTGATCAATGTTACAACTTGTGGTTAAGATTTGAGCAGTTTTTGTGTTTAGTGCTATCCCCAATTCAGGTCCCAAAGATTCTTTCTTAAACAAACAAAGGCTATGCAGACACTTGGCCAATAACTTGGTGAAATTTTTTTCTTTAAGTAGCATTTTTGTTAAGTAAAAAAAAATCGTTAACAATAGTTGAACAAACTTTGCAATATTTATCGACTTGAAAATATACTATCAACCTAGTACTATCAAGAACAAATCTATCGCAAAACACATCGATAATTCAACCTATCTTTACACCAATACAAATGAGTTAGCAAGTTATCATGCCTATATTTAAATACTATTAGGTGAATAAATGTTTTAGACAAAAAGAAACAATTTGGAGGAAAAACAAACAAAATGAATATTGAAGTGTGGAAAATCTTTGAATCATATTTATGTATTATATGTTGCAGGAATAAGAATGATAATATAACAAATGATCAAAACGACCAAAACAAAGAATGTTCAATATGTACTAAGTGAGAGATTTCCTCTCACATGTAGACTATACAGAAATAGAAACCTCCCTTCGACATAAATGGTCTAAGAAAACGTTTGTAGGCCAGCACTTCAGCTAATCATCTGTTCTAACAATCTTTAAAAACTGACATGCAGAATGGTGTGAATTCAAAATAAACCATGCTTGAACATCTTAAGAGTTCAAATAGTCACATGCTAAAACACGTAAAATTACTAAAAACATGCACAATAAAGCATAAAATGTCCCATCTATTGCCTAGCATGGCATTAAGTCTAGCCATAATAATGTCATTATTTGAATGGTTATTGCTGACTCAAAGATGTCATTATTTCAATAGGTATTGATAGCTCACAGATGCCATTATTTGAAATGTTATTGCTGGCTCAGTAAGCATTCCAAGATCATAAATTACCGCGTAGAACATGAACACTACACACTGCCTGGTCATAATACCTATAAACACTGTCTGAAATAGCAAAAGACTGAGCTGACCTTTAACCTATAGCTTTGTATAGTGGTAAATACTGTACTTATCCTCCCAATAACCATTGGTTCCCATTTCCACTAACAGAGGGCTTACACAGGACAATGAAGAAACCATTGTTTGTAACTTCCACTAAATAACATTAAACGTGACAACAGTACCTGTTGGTGTTATCTGGTAGTCTGTATTTCAAACTCAATCGATGCATAATGTGTCATTATTTCATCAATTTGGTATTTTCAAATGACAATGCTTTAAAAGCTTTTAGACCTATTTGTTTAGATGGAATGGAGAAAAACTAACTCAAGTGTGTTACAAGCCAATTCAAAATTGTGAGGTCAATATTATCTGTACTGCAACAAAAAAAACAAAAAAAAAAAAACCCAAAAATAGAGTGTCAACTGATGAACCAAAAACAAACCAACATTTAAACTCTATTTGAAACTAGACCAAAAATCAAGGTTTTACTTTCTGAAAAATTCTGCTTCGAGATTTCATCCTACAGAAAAATGTTTCCTTACATGTAAATGCAATGGGAAAATCTGACCTTATGAACACTAAGATGGACATGACCTCGAGGGTCCTTATATCATTATAAACATATATCATATAGGTGTATTGAATTATACCAACAATACAATGTACACATGTATACACATAGGTGTAGTATACTGCACATATATGTATACATACGTGTACATAAATATAGTATGTGAACAATATGTTTTACACATGTGCACAGCATTTTCAAAACATCAACAAAATACATATATGTTCAATGAATACATGGAAATTGACAAGTCGATGTGCAGTAGATAGAAATTTATGGTCTAGCTTCAAAAAGTACAAAGGAAGGTGTTAGTCAAACCACGCATATCATATCACCTACTCTTTAATTCTGAAACAGCAAAGAAAACAAGCTCCCTGATAAATACATATATAATTTGTACACAGCCTCAGTAATGCATAATATACTGTATGTATAACTATAACAATGGTTAGTTTTCAAAATCTACTTTAGAAAAAAAAAATTGCAAATATCAGTTGTGCAACCTCTCTAAAGACATTGTTTTTATTTATTTATTCACAATTTATAAACTTACCAGAAACAATGATTTAATTTTTTTTCCTTTAAATTATAAGATACAACAAATATTTCTTCATCATTTTAAAAAACCAGAAGGGTTAGTATTGTTTGTTTATTAATACTGTAAATGGCAGTATTTCGTATAGGACTACCAGGTATATACCCAGTTACAAGCCTACAGAATTACTATATCACTTTTTATTCAGTCAGAAGATGGGCTGACTGCTGATCATTACAGGACAGTGGCATACTATTGCATACTATTTTAAATTGTATTGAATAACAAGAGTGGGCTTATTATCAGATATGGGCTCATTGCCGGATAAATACACTATATAATATAAGATTCCTTCTCTGACAACATGGAAAGGTACTTTATGTTCGTTAGTCAAATAGAGGATATTTAATAGCGTCTTCATTAATTACAAATATATTTCACAAGTGTGTGTAATATTTTAGTATCTTTCACGAGTATGCACCACATGAAAAAATAACACTCGTATCACTGAGATATTTCTCCATATTTCACAGGCAAAAAGGAAATAAAATACATATATCATTATCATTTAATATAATTCTTTATGTTTGACATTTGAACGACATTATCTTTCTCCCACCTTCAATTTCTTCAAGGTCCAAATCTACATCTTCATTGTCTAGTTCGTCAGTCAGATAGTTCTTAAGGAACTCAGCAAAAGCACCAGGATGGCCGATGAGCTCCTGGAATGATCCAACTTCAGAGACCTGACCATTCACAAGGACCACTATAAGGTCGACTTTGGGAAGAAAGCCAATACCATGCGTGACTAAAACTCGTGTCTGAAAGATAGGAAGATTGAAAGCATCTATAAACTGAGTATAAGTCATAGCCTAAATACACAGGCAATATAAAAACTAAGTTACTTATTTGATTTAATGGGACAAAACCTGTCAAATTATTGGCTTATATAAATTCATAAGAGGGATTCAGTTACACAAAGTGTTTGAGGTGTGATGTATATGGCACATGTCCTCACCTTCTCCCTTAAAAGTCCATTTGGTCCAATCACCTCATCAAAGATGTGCTTGCCAACATGGGAGTCAACTGCACTGAGAGGATCGTCAAGAAGATAGATATCTGCATCTTGATAAACAGCGCGTGCCAGACTGACTCTCTGTTTTTGTCCTCCACTCAAATTAATTCCCTATTAAATAAAACACCATAAGACTGTTGCTGTCCTCCACTCAAATTAATTCCCTATTAAATAAAACACCATAAGACTGTTGCTGTCCTCCACTCAAATTAATTCCCTATTAAATAAAACACCATAAGACTGTTGCTGTCCTCCACTCAAATTAATTCCCTATTAAATAAAACACCATAAGACTGTTGCTGTCCTCCACTCAAATTAATTCTCAATTAAATAAGACACTGTAAGACTGTTTCTCCCACCACTTAAATTAATTCTCAAACTTGAAATATGGGCATTCAACTCTTCACAAACTTTGAACAAAATTAATTTTTCAGTTGTGCAGATAGTTCAAAACGTTTCAGTACATGATCATTTCTATTTTTTCTTTTTATTTAATTATCTTTAGAGCAAAACTGGAAAACTTTTGGGAAGTTTTGATGCATGAATCAGAGTTGGAACTGGTTTAAGATGTAAGATATTTGTACCTTTTCTCCTATCTCAGTCTGATCTCCAGCTGGCAATATTTCAAGGTCAGTTTTCAGGGCACAAGCATCTAATACATTGGAATATTCTGACTGGGACTTGGGCTTGCCAAACAGGATGTTATCCTGCAGAGTTGCATTCTGGATCCAGGCCTGCTGGGCCACATAAGCTACTGAACCCTGGAATATACAACATATTTTGCAACTGTCAGGGAGAGATTGTTTTTCAGAATATTTTATAATTGGAAAATGACAAATCGTAAAATGTTAACAAAATGTTCATGAAAACTCTTTGCAAAAATGGAGACAAAATAATTACTTTCGCATTTTGATATACATCCTTATCTTCTCAATGTATATTCTCAGCCAGCAAAACTTTTAGATTTTTCCATCTTTTATACGATGCTTTGACAAGATACACTGTATGAACAGACAATTGACATGAATTTCAGGAAAGTGGATGTAATGCCTGCATAATCATAAGAACAAGAAAACACAAAGCCTGACATTATCCCTTGCCCTGTTGAAAGACACTTCATCATATGTCATCATGTTAATTGTTAATATTACAATAACAAGTAGGAACTCCATTCCACTATTGCTAGACATTTTGATTTAGATCATTTTTTATTCTTGATATATTGGCACTATTTGAAAAATAAAACGATAACATAAGTAATAATAATTATGATGGGATGCATATTATTACAAAACTGGAAAATTTTGCAATTGATTGACGCTATGACAATAAACAAAAAACAAAAAATAGAAAAAATATCCAAAATGAACACTCAACAGAATGCACCAAGAAAGTGTCAACTTGTACAAAGTTCACAAAGTTTCAGGTACTGTTTAAACAATTTTGTTGCCAAGCTCTAGAAACTGAGAAATTTCTAATTTTGCCCATATGTTTCCATGGCAACAAGAAAAAAAATAGAACTCTTCCACCAAAAAAAGCATCACCAGAGTGATAGGAAGGCAAGTGGATGAAGATTTAGGTAACAGTAGTTATCTTGAATGATTTTGCAGTCATGCCCTATACAACTGAAATTTATGATCTAGCCTATCTGTTTCCATGGTAACAGAAACATTATCTAAATGGAGAACTTCTCAATAGTAAAGTTTTAGCTTGATAACTGCAAAATAAGTTTTGAGTAATTATTTTGAAGTTTCAGAGCTGTGGTCTGGAAAACTTAAATTGGTAATTTGGCCTAACTTCTCTACAGCAAAAGGCACTATTAGACTACAAGCTTGATACCAAAGTTGTGATTAATTATCTTGAACAGTTTCAGAATTGTGGTCCAGAAAATGCCAATGTACAGAAACATGCATACACATAATGTCTCTACAAACATGTTTTGTGGGAATAATTAGCTAGACTCCAAAAGAAAGCAACTTCATAGTATCACTTTCTGTATGAATACTAACATTTTAGTCTAATCAGTCGAAGGGAACCTGGTTGAACAGTAAACTACAAGGGAGACACATCTTATATCTACCATAGACAAAGTGAAGATTGATGGCTGTCAAGATTCCATAGTAAACATTCTAGTGGATATTGTTAATGCAAGCCAACACTGATTCTGATTACAGTTGTTAATATTCAGTTACTATTTCTGGTGATACACGAGTCAATAGAGCTGCGGGGTAATGATGATGTTACACGAGTCAATAGAGCTACGGGGTAATGATGGTGATACACGAGTCAATAGAGCTACGGGGTAATGATGGTGTTACAGGAGTCAATAGAGCTGCGGGGTAATGATGATGTTACAGGAGTCATATAGAGCTGCGGGGTAATGATGGTGTTACACGAGTCAATAGAGCTGCGGGGTAATGATGATGTTACAGGAGTCAATAGAGCTACGGGGTAATGATGGTGATATACGAGTCAATAGAGCTGCAGGGTAATGATGATGTTACAGAAGTCATATAGAACTGCGGGGTAATAATGGTGTTACAGGAGTCATATAGAGCTGCGGGGTAATGATGGTGTTACACGAGTCAATAGAGCTGCGGGGTAATGATGGTGTTACAGGAGTCCTATAGAGCTGCGGGGTAATGATGGTGTTACAGGAGTCCTATAGAGCTGCGGAGTAATGATGGTGTTATACGAGTCAATAGAGCTGCGGGGTAATGATGATGTTACAGGAGTCATATAGAGCTACGGGGTAATGATGGTGTTATACGAGTCAATAGAGCTGCGGGGTAATGATGGTGTTACACAAGTCAATAGAGCTGCGGAGTAATGATGATGTTACAGGAGTCGATAGAGCTGCGGGGTAATGATGGCATGGCTAGTATTAAGGCCAATAATACAAATACCTGCAAACTTTCTGTCTGGTCAAGTATGTGAATTATGCCTCAGTAAAAATAACATTTACCTGTGAGTTCAATTACAGTGAGCTACAGTTGGATATTTTTTAACTTCATAATTGTATGTTATGTTGAAATGATTTAGACATCAGTAAGTACTGACCTTGACATTGGCCTTGCCCTTGACCTTTTCCATTTCCCCAAGAATTGCTGACAAAATGGAGGACTTTCCTGACCCCACTGATCCTACCACAGCAACCAATGATCCATCAGGTATTTCCAGGTTAATTCTGAAAAACAAGAAATACATTCATGATCACTCTCACTATTTCAGTCATACAGGTCTTCATATAATAAATAATTACTATGTAGTATGACATGGGAAACAGACAAGTGGAAATATTGCCCTGATAAACATACTGCCCAAGGGAAGGAAATCTTGGTCTGATAAACTTAGTCTCCGCAGGAAGGATATGCTGCCATGATATACTTGCTCTCTGAGGATGGGAAATGTTGGTCTGATAAATATACTCTGAGAGGGTGAGGTATCTTGGCCTGATAAACTTACTTCTTGAGTGTTGGGTTCTTGCCCTGATTAATTCACTCTCTCAGGGTAGGTAATCTTATCTAAATTTCTCTATATTGGTAGGGAATATTGTCTGACTAACTTACTCCCTGAGTGTGGGTGTTTCAGCTTCCTTCTCCCAGGTAAACGTGCCTTTCTCCACAGTTATCGCATGTTCTATAAAAACAACAATATCAAACAGTCAGAGAGGTTATGGTAATTTGTTCTTAAACTACACATTTCACATCTACAACCAACCAATCATGTATGATAACAGTTAATAGATAAGTATGTAGATATATACATATTCTTAGATATTTATTCTAGTACTATGCTATCTCTTGTGTGGCATGAATCAATACCATACATCAATAAACCAGATGTTTCAGACAACATATCCAAGAAGGATCCCAGGTGGTGCCCACCGGTGTTTGATCTTTATTTGTTCTTTAAATGTTGGATCTCTTCGCTTCTTTCCTGTGTTTTTGCTCTAAACCACATGAAATTTGAAAAATTCCTCTGAAGAAATGGTAATGATTAAATAATGTTGAAAAGTCAAATCCAAGATGGCCATGTGTCTGTGTAGGGCAAAGCTACGGATCTAGGGGAAGCTACAAATGAAATTTGGGAAAGATTCATCCAGTATTTGTAAAGAAAGAGTGATAACAAACTTGGCATTGTGAAAATCAACAATGGCTGCCTATCAGCCATTATATTTTGAAATGAAATCTGAGAGAGATCGACTGGAACATCCAAAGAAATAGCAATGGATGACTTCCACATTCAAAATCCAGGACAATCACCCATCAGTCATTTCAGTTTTTCCATTAGTCCAAAAATTGAAAGGATTCAACTTGGAACTAAGAGGAACCTTTTATCAAATTTGAATAAAGATCCATCCATTACTTCTCAAGAACAAGCTTCAACAAACTTCCATTGTCAAATCCAAGATGGCCATGTCCGGTCTGTAAGCCATCTTGTGTTTTTTTAGTGATCGGTCTTTAAATCAAAATGGCACCAAGGCGAACTTCCTATGAAAGTTGAGAAAGGTTATCCAGTACTTCTCATGAAATAAGCTAAACAAGAACTGATGATGGCTAGGTGACAGACCATGGATGCAGACAATTTGAGCAGTGATGATGGAGGACTAATAAAAACATTAAAAGGATTTAATTTAACTTTAATTTAAAGTTAATAAGTATTAAAGGGTTTATATGTATATGCATATATACTGGTAGTGAAATACATTGTGCAAGAATAAAAATTTAACCATAATATGTACCTTTATTACAGTAAACAATTTTAGTTAGTGACATATTTTTATTCATTCATGTCTGTATATTCAGTTTTAGCCTTTTAGTTTCACCTTTAAAATGTTAATTAAATGGCTTTTTATTAACCTAAACAAAATCATAGACATCAGAATATCATGTTTCAGATAAAAAACCAAATCAGTGTTCAAGTTCAAAATAACAAATTACAGACAGAGGCATCCTTTTCTATAAATAATCTGTGCAGGTTTTAATCAGTAAAACTTACTAGCAGAGGGATCCTTGTCTATGCAGAAGATGTCCAGCTGTTCATTGTCTAAGAAGTGCTGTAATCTCTTTAAAGATACACTAACCTGAAACATAAATTTCCAACTTGTGTTTCTTGTATTTTCAAATTCATGCTAGTTTACAGAAGAATACTGTTGTAATTTTAAAGTAATTTTCAGACACTGATTACAGAGGAACATTATTCACCTATTTAATAATGAAAATGACCTCGACCTTCACTTACTTATTCAATACTGATGATGACTCTTTAATAAATAAATGAAAATTTCCTTGGCTTGACTTAATTGTGCAAAACTGGAAATTACCTTGATCTACCTGTATAATTAACCAACTTACCTGTTCATTTCTTGAATGGACCATAGTTTACCTGTATAATACTTCATATAACCTTACCTTATCTTTATGACACTTTATATGTCCTTGATATATATGTACAATATTTGAGGTAACCATGTTTCACTTGTATAATACTGGAATCAAGCTTAACATACCTAAACAATACTTGAGATAACCTTAACTTACCTGTACAATACTGGAAATGACCTGAGGAAGCATCGATAGAGGAAAACGTAGAATGTTGAAAAGAGACAAAGATACAAAGGCTTTCTCTGCATCTAGGACATTGTTGGAATCCACCAGTACATAAACTGCGAAGGTCACCAAGGACACCTATTAAAAAGCATATACTTAGGTTAATATCATCATCTCCTGCCACAGTCATCAATGCAGTCATAAAAATCATGTAAGCCTGAAATGGTATGATTTCTCTTAGAAGATGAGGCAGATAACTTAAGAACAGACTTACACCCACTGTCATACAAAATTACACTACTTTTATTATACTGCTACTGAGCAAGTGGACCACTTTCCAAATTCTGGTCAAAATAAATGAGTCCACACATGGACAGATTTTCAGATTCAGCTATAGTATCATGAAGGCTCTTACAACAGAAGTCTTTATTGTACTCCCTGAAAGAGTGCATCCCATGTATGACGAGGTAGATTCTTTACAAAACAAAGAAGATCCCCTGACAAAGAAGACCTTTATTATGGATGTTCTCTACAGCACTGGCTATATGGTCCCCATGTTATATGGTAGGATTAATAGGAATTATGGAGACTTTGACTGTACAAACAATTTACCAGGAAAGGTGCAGTGGTCCAGGTGAATGACACTGCAGCATTTAGATAGGCCATCTTCTTAAGTACCCGGAGCTCTTTGTTACGGATCTCCAACACCTGATTTTCAAAGGATTTCTCCCAGGCATACAGCTTCAGAACCTAGATAACAACAAATAGCACTAGTATTATGTCAATATAGGCATACCCAAAAAATTATATAGTATAGCTACTGACATGGACAGTAATACAAAGTATATTGTAACATACCTAATTTGGCACAATGAAGTTTTAACACTTAATCAATTCTTGGCAGTGATGAATTTGTCCATCCATAATAATTGTTATATAAACAACCATACAAAAATCTTGAATCAGCAAAATCACATTTTAGCGTTACATTTACAGCCTGATTGCTGCTATAATGGGTATGTTTGTAGTACCTTGTGGTGACAGATAGCAAGACATACTTCAGTATGTCATTTACACTTGCTGCATTAACATGGGTTTCTCTGTATTTATAATGTACACCCAGTATAACACATTTATTTTTATGTATTTTTATTTTCTGTATCTATAACATAATCCCAGTATTAAACATTTACTTTCTGTATCTATAACATAATCCAAGTATTAAACATTTATTTTCTGTATCTATAACATAATCCCAGTATTAAACATTTACTTTCTGTATCTATAACATAATCCAAGTATTAAACATTTATTTTCTGTATCTATAACATAATCCCAGTATTAAACATTTATTTTCTGTATCTATAACATAATCCCAGTATTAAACATTTATTTTCTGTATCTATAACATAATCCCAGTATTAAACATTAATTTTCTGTATTTATAACATACACCCAGTATTAAATATCTATTTTCTATATTTATAACATACACCCAGTATTAAACATTTATTTTTTATATTTATGATGTACACAAGAGTATTAAACTTTTATTTTCTATATTTATAACATACACTTAGTAAAGAACTGTACTTCTATAATTGATGTGTAAGTCTAATGTCTTGAGTTACAGTCAAATATGTAGTTCTACGTACCTTTATACCATTGAGAACTTCATTCATCAGTTTGATTCTAGAATCTTTCAGTCTCATTTGTTTCATCTGAAAAACAGTGATTTGTTTGGTTTTGTAGAGATTAAAACACATACATATGGTTTTTTTTAAAATCTATAATGTATAAAAACAAAAATACTAAAAAAACACAGACAATATTCAATAGTCTCCTCAGTAATAACTACATTTCATGAGTGTGTCTAAAAGTTTGGTATCTTTCATGAGTGCATATGTGAAAGATACAAAAAATATTAGACACATTTGAAATATCGTGGCAACTGATGAATTCGCTGTCAATCAATGACACAAATCCTCTTGAAATGTCTAGCTCCACTTCCAAGATAATCCGTAGGGATTTGAGTTTGGCTTCTGATAAGGTCATTTGAGTTACAGACTTACATTGATTGCTGACTTCCATGGAAACAGAAGTTTAGCCCGGGATTGAAGCTTGTGTTTCTAGTAAACAACTCCTCCTTCCACTACCTTACAGATGTGTACTTATGTGTGTTATTCTTTCTTCTATATGGGGCTTTATGATTGGTCAATTTTATGACATGATCTGTGTTCTCTATTTTCATTGGTGTTAGTGAAAAACAGCTAAAATGTGCTAGTGAAAAGTTACACTTTCATCAATGTGATCATTTTTCTATATTTCACTTGTAAAATTGTGTACACATCATTAAGATGAAATTATTGTAAAAGTCTGTTTAATTACTTAGAAGAAAATAACATTCTCACAACAGCTTCCATAAAATAAGAAATACCTTGAAAGTTTTTTACCGACTTTTTTTGTATTCATGAAAATGAACCACACTGCAACAGTATTGCCTGTTTAACCATAAATTACCTGAAGGTCTCGTGACTTTTTGGCAATGACGGCATTGACAGGAATCATCACAATCATCACGCCGGTACCAGCCAGGACGGATGGGCCAAGGGTCTGCCACAAGAAGTACAGAGATACTGCTATCTGGAAGGGGCCAGACCAGATAGTATGGAAGTAGGTCATCAGATCCATAAACCGCTGAGCATCTACAGACATCAGGTTCACAATCTCCCCTACCGTGGAGTTACGTCGAGCCGCACTTGACAGAAGTAACATCTGACAACAGATAAATAACAAGTCTTACACAAAAGTAAAAAAAACAGCATCTGTCAAATCAGATGTTAAAGATTGGAATACAAGTCTTGTCAGCAAACTTCACATGCCAAACAATATTTCAAATTTAAACAGTAATACATGTTGATAAAAACTTCTGTTGAAGATTATGGCAAACGTATATCAGTTAAAAGTTATAGCAATTGTTAAGCAGTGCATTGTAATGGTGTGCATTTACAGCTGTTGTAAAAGTCATAACAAAAGTATTGTTCAATATTTATATTTTTTCATTCTCTACAATTGTTGCTTTCTTAAATTGATATTACATTGATTTAACTTATAACAGACCACTCATTATGGAGAGTGTAGTCTGTCAGTGGAAAAAGTCATTTAGACTGTGAGCCATCACTGTTTCCATGCAAGTGTTAATAATCTTCAACAAACCTTAATATGATGACAATACATACCAGTATATCTGTTTATTTCATAGCCATCTTTTAAATCTATCAACACATTCAAGTGTAGGCTAAAACTAACATTCCACAACAAACATATCATAAATCATAGATACACTGAAAACAATACCACCAGCTGAAATGCAACACAGGGTTCCATCCAGATATCCCTGGCCTTGTACCTTTCTGTAAACGATGGTTATAATGGCGGTCCGTAGCTTCATACCCAGCAACTGACAGCCATGGAAGTATTGGTGTAAGAGGAAGGACTGAACAAAAGCAACCACAAACATCAGGACGGCATACAGATAACCACGCCATTGGTACTCTGTCTTATCTCGAGTAAACATGATCAGTAGTCTGCAAGTAAACAATTTATATCTCAAAGGTCATATTTAACAGACACTAAGCCAGCTGACTCTAATTTCCCAATTCTGTAAATGTAATCAGCATTCATAAATATAAAAACATATTCAAATATTTTACATCTAAACTTTTTTACATACGATTTAATTTTTTTCTGAGCAACAAGAAAATCCATGAATATTTATCTTACCAGAATATGTAGCTACACCTTAAATACAAACAGTAACTTTTAACTCATTTTGCTCATTTCTATTTCAAAAGTATAAGCAATTGTTCTATTTTCCATAGAAAGTCAACAGATTTCATTGTCCAATTTTGAAGTTCCCTTGCATATACCAATAACCATATGTTCAATCTATGACTTTATTTTTGGAAAAAAAAATCTACTTTCAAATGAAAACTACACCAACTCCTACAGATTTTAAAATCAATGAGTATTTCTCAACAATACAATTCATAAGTTTTCAAAATTTCTGTTTACAAATCTAAATAAAATTACAGTTTATCAACAACTATGTTAAGAACTTGATGATACAAACATCACTCTTTCATTTCACCTCATGAACAAATTTGCTTTCAGTTAAAATGAAGCTTGAAGCATCAACAGTAAATAAGCTTAAGGTATGCTCATGAGATTTTTTTAATGTTGCCTTTTAATTTACTAGTAATATTTTAACCCAAATATATCAACCAAGAAAACAAATGACAGCTACGGCTATAGACAAACTCATACTGTACATACTACATGTAAAATGACAAGGAGAAAAGATTTACAGAACTACTTACTTGAGAATGAGAGGACTGACAAACTGAAGAATGTCATAAATCAATTTGTAGAGAGCAGACAGAAGGAACATAGGCCAGAATGCCTTGATCAGGCAGATGAGTAACTTGGCTTTGTAGGGTGGTTTCCCCTCAACAACATGAACTTCTGTGTAAGTTTCTCCGCCCTGGTTTCGTGTCTGTAACTCAATACCATCTGTCCGGGGAGTTTCAATATTTTGTTTGGAACTGAAATTCACCAAAAATTGTTTTATCCTTATTAAAGTAATGTTTAAAACAAAGTTTTGTTGATAAATCTACCTCATCCTGACTGTCTCTGCTGGTTACAAATACCTTTCATAATATGCTGTGTGACAACATAAATGTAAACCTGCTAGCCAATTACTACACACTTGGTGAGATATGTGATTTAATTTCAATAAATCTTCCTCATAAATGCTGAAGAAAAGTAAACTTCGTTCAAATGGTAGCAAAGTTCAGAATATGTACATGTACTTGACATTCTAAAATTATCAGATGTTTATCAGATGTATCAATATTACAAAATCTATTAAATTATGGGGCTAATGCACCTCCCTATGTAGATTTTGACTTTTCTTTCAATCACTTTGGATTTTCATTAGTTGCCTCCTAGATTTCAAAATTTAGGCCCCTAGGCCTCACTGATGAGTCCTAGAAGGATGAAACAGATGTATGATGTAGCATCACTGATGAGTCCTAGAAGGTATGAAACAGCTGTATGATGCAGTTTGATTCATTATTTGGCTCTAAATCAAAATTTGTACAAAAAGTATAATTCATTTGTACAATCATTGATTTACTCCAAGAGAAGCTAGTCTTCAAACCTTTTCTCTTTCTCTAGCTCTTGATCCCAGTATTTGTCAAAATGAGGGATAACACTGCTGCACATATCCTCCTCATTCAAGGCAAAAAGGTCACTTCTGTCCAGAGCATGTTTATATCCCTGTACCACCGTACTGTCAAACACAAATATCAATTTCTGATTCCAGGAAAGGAGATATCTTTATCATAAATATTAAACAGTTATGTTAAACTTCATTACTCTCTTGCAAAAGGAAAACAAATATAGCAATGAAAAAACTTATACACTGTGATACAGAGACTTAAGGTAAGCACTTGATATGAGGGCAGTTTATAATTTCTATTGATATCAATTTACAGAAGTGCCAAACCTAAAGAACTGTAAGTTGAATTGTTATAAAAAACAACATTTTCTTGCGCTTGTGAAATTGTAATAATAATTAAGCATTCTCAATCGGTTTACTTCTTTATTCCCCCCCCCCCCCCCCCTTCCATTTTTTTTTATCAAAATTCAAAATTTTGCAAAATATTAATGTTTTCACTTGGACAGTTTTACTTACCCAGAAAACCACCAAAAACTTATCCTTGATATAAAGGACGAATCATCCTCTGGACAAGGTTTCTGTAATGGAAAACCAGTCAAATCCAGGAAAATGGCCACCGTAAATTTATAATAGTTTATAAGACCAAAGTATGTTGATATAGACAATAAATTACAGTTATTCAAAACTCAAATACTAGTTTATCAACCATTTGTAAATCCTAAATTATTTTTCTGTACAATCCCAAATGCAAGTATTGTAACAAATACACCCTATATATATTATCAAATTTGAAAGGACAACATGTTTAGCATTATCTGTTGTTATATGACAAGTTCATGCTATGAGGCTAATCTAACCTTGTCTTTTGATATATTACTTTTCTCAAAAAAAAAACAACAAAAAAACAAAAACAAAACAAAGATACATCTTTGATTATATTCATTCTGATATTCTCATAAATTTTCAGAATTTATTTTCTATCACAGCATATAATAATTGTTTTTTGTATTGTAATAATTACTAAATTGCTCAAGAAAAAAAATGTCTGTGAACACTCAAAAATGATAATAACGTGTATCCTCTGTTAAAGTCACAGCACTATAATCGTGTACATACATCATGTAAATCTGTAGTTGGCACAAATTCATTTTTCCTCTTGTCCACAAACAACGTCAGGATAAACTGTGTGAGGATCAGCGGGAACTCGATGAAGAATATGACAAACCGATAGAGATCATCAACACCCTGGAGAAAAAAAAAGATAGGAAATGTTAACATATTGAGAAATATTTTGGGTAGAAGTTGTCATGTTAAGGGTTTTTGAACTTTGAGTTTAAATTTCTGTTTTCATAATCAATTTTAAATTCCATTTAATGGATGTATCCCCCAATCACAGTTCAGGACTTTTATCTGGATACATCATGCAAAAGTTTACATGTTGTTAAATCTAAAATTTACGTAAACTTTTTGAGGAGAGTCCTTCAACTTTGGACAGTTCTATACACTTCCAAGTCAGCTTTACATTTAGCCTTAATAACTTTTGTATCTTTCCACACTCTGAGTCTAACTAATTCAAGCCAAATGTTCAACTAATACATCAAGCTGTGTAAGAAAAGGGGCATAACTCACAAGAAGAATAATTGAAAAGTGATCATAGGCTCAGTTTAGGAGTTGTCTGAACAAGTTCCAGTAATTTTTTCAGTTTTTTAAATGTACCAAATTTTAATTTCTAGAAATATCTTATTTTCAAAAGTCTCCACAATGAACTTGTATGATCATTGCTTTATAATAACCTTGATTTTTTTACTGAATGACCTATGAAGGATACTCACAGCTCTATTGATATTTTTTTAATCATCAAAACCTGTTATTATTATTTTCAGATTGTTCAAGTGACAAATGTGTGAAACACTACAATAAAGCCTTGGCATTAAAACCAGACATGAGCTGATATCATGACAGATAAATGTCTGCAAACATGACAAGCATATATCATGACAGGTAAATGTCTACAAATATGACATAACCTGAGCTTGACAGGAAACTATTCAAAACCATGACAAATACACTGAACCAAAACTAGCATGCAAGTCAACATTTGAAGAAATTAAGTGTCAAACTTACCTCCCTGACTGCTGTTCTCACTTTAGATTGGAAGATAAAGATTCCTGATATTAGCAGCATCATCCAGAATAAAAACATGATCCCTGATGACTGTACACCATGTTTCCTTTCATGTTGGATGAGGAATGTAGCTAGCACCTGGGAAAGACAAACTTCAGGTGAGAACAGAACGATTTAATATTATACTTATTGCAATATTAAACAATTTTGATAACCTTTGCAAAAAGTCTCATGGATAACATCATAAGAGATGGTGAGGCAGAGGAGTAAATAATGCTGAGACAGAGGAGTAAATAATGGTGGAGTAAATAATGGTGAGGCAGAGGAGTAAATAATGGTGAGGCAGAGGGAGTAAATAATGGTAAGGCAGAGGAGTAAATAATGGTGAGGCAGAGGAGTAAATAATGATGAGGCAGAGGAGTAAATATTGGTGAGACAGAGGAGTAAATAATGGTGGAGTAAATAATGGTGAGACAGAGTAGTAAATAATGGTGAGACAGAGTAGTAAATAATGGTGAGGCAGAGGGAGTAAATAATGGTGAGGCAGAGGGAGTAAATAATGATGAGGCAGAGGAGTAAATATTGGTGAGACAGAGGAGTAAATAATGGTGGAGTAAATAATGGTGAGACAGAGGGAGTAAATAATGGTGAGGCAGAGGGAGTAAATAATGGTGAGGCAGAGGAGTAAATAATGATGAGGACAAGGGAGTAAATAATGGTAAGGCTAAGGAGTAAATAATGGTGAGACAGAGGAGTAAATAATGGTGAGGCAGAGGGAGTAAATAATGGTGAGACAGAGTAGTAAATAATGGTAAGGTAGCGGAGTAAATAATGGTGAGGCAGAGGGAGTAAATAATGGTGAGGCAGAGGGAGTAAATAATGATGAGGCAGAGGAGTAAATATTGGTGAGACAGAGGAGTAAATAATGGTGGAGTAAATAATGGTGAGACAGAGGGAGTAAATAATGGTGAGGCAGAGGGAGTAAATAATGGTGAGGCAGAGGAGTAAATAATGATGAGGACAAGGGAGTAAATAATGGTAAGGCAGAGGAGTAAATAATGGTGAGACAGAGGAGTAAATAATGGTGAGGCAGAGGGAGTAAATAATGGTGAGGCAGAGGAGTAAATAATGATGAGGACGAGGGAGTAAATAATGGTGAGGCAGAGGAGTAAATAATGGTGAGGCAGAGGAGTAAATATTGGTGAGGCAGAGGAGTAAATATTGGTGGAGTAAATAATGGTGAGGCAGAGAAGTAAATAATGGTGAGACAGAGGAGTAAATAATGGTGAGGCAGAGGGAGTAAATAATGGTGAGGTAGAGGAGTAAATAATGATGAGGACGAGGGAGTAAATAATGATGAGGACGAGGGAGTAAATAATGGTGCGGCACAGGAGTAAATAATGGTGAGACAGAGGAAAAAATAATGGTGAGACAGAGGAGTAAATAATGGTGAGACAGAGGAGTAAATAATGGTGAGGCAGAGGAGTAAATAATGGTGAGGCAGAGGAGTAAATAATGATGAGGACGAGGGAGTAAATAATGATGAGGACGAGGGAGTAAATAATGGTAAGGCAGAGGAGTAAATAATGGTGAGACAGAGGAAAAAATAATGGTGAGACAGAGGAGTAAATAATGGTGAGACAGAGGAGTAAATAATGGTGAGGCAGAGGAGTAAATAATGGTGAGACAGAGGAGTAAATAATGGTGAGGCAGAGGAGTAAATAATGGTGAGGCAGAGGAGTAAATAATGGTGAGGCAGAGGGAGTAAATAATGGTGAGGCAGAGGAGTAAATAATGGTGAGGCAGAGGGAGTAAATAAGAGCAGAGGAGTAAATAATGGTGAGGCAGAGGAGTAAATATGGTGAGGCAGATGGTGGAGTAAATAATGGTGAGGCAGAGAGTAAATAATGGTGAGGCAGAGGGAGTAAATAATGGTGAGGCAGAGGAGTAAATAATGATGAGGACAGAGGAGTAAATAATGGTGAGGCAGAGGAGAGTAAAAAAATAATGGTGAGGCAGAGGAGTAAATAATGGTGAGACAGAGGAGTAAATAATGGTGAGGCAGAGGAGTAAATAATGGTGAGGCAGAGGAGTAAATAATGATGAGGCAGAGAGTAAATAATGGTGAGGCAGAGGAGTAAATAATGGTGAGGCAGAGGAGTAAATAATGGTGAGGCAGAGGAGTAAATAATGGTGAGGCAGAGAAGTAAATAATGGTGAGACAGAGGAGTAAATAATGGTGAGGCAGAGGGAGTAAATAATGGTGAGGCAGAGGAGTAAATAATGGTGAGACAGAGGAGTAAATAATGGTGAGGCAGAGGGAGTAAATAATGGTGAGGCAGAGGAGTAAATAATGGTGAGGCAGAGGAGTAAATAATGGTGAGACAGAGGAGTAAATAATGATGAGGACGAGGGAGTAAATAATGGTAAGGCAGAGGAGTAAATAATGGTGAGGCAGAGGAGTAAATAATGGTGAGGCAGAGGAGTAAATAATGATGAGGACGAGGGAGTAAATAATGGTAAGGCAGAGGAGTAAATAATGGTGAGACAGAGGAGTAAATAATGGTGAGGCAGAGGAGTAAATAATGGTGAGGCAGAAGAGTAAATAATGGTGAGACAGAGGAGTAAATAATGGTGAGGCAGAGGGAGTAAATAATGGTGAGGCAGAGGAGGTGAGGACAGAGGGAGTAAATAATGGTGAGGCAGAGGAGTAAATAATGGTGAGACAGAGGAGTAAATAATGGTGAGGCAGAGGAGTAAATAATGGTGAGGCAGAGGAGTAAATAATGGTGATGGTGAGGCAGAGGAGTAAATAATGGTGAGGCAGAGGGAGTAAATAATGGTAAGGCAGAGGAGTAAATAATGGTGAGTCAGAGGAGTAAATAATGGTGAGGACGAGGGAGTAAATAATGGTAAGGCAGAGGAGTAAATAATGGTGAGACAGAGGAGTAAATAATGGTGAGGGAGTAAATAATGGTGAGGCAGAGGAGTAAAATAATAATGGTGAGGCAGAGGAGTAAATAATGGTGAGGACAGAGGGAGTAAATAATGGTGAGGCAGAGGAGTAAATAAGGCAGAGGAGTAAATAATGGTGAGGCAGAGGAGTAAATAATGGTGAGGCAGAGGAGTAAATAATGGTGAGGCAGATGGTGAGGGAGTAAATAATGGTGAGGCAGAGGGAGTAAATAATGGTCAGGCAGAGGAGTAAATAATGGTGAGACAGAGGATAAAATAATGGTGAGACAGAGGAGTAAATAATGGTGAGGCAGAGGAGTAAATAATGGTGAGGCAGAGGAGTAAATAATGGTGAGGCAGAAGAGTAAATAATTGTGAGGCAGAGGGAGTAAATAATGGTGAGGCAGAGGAGTAAATAATGGTGAGACAGAGGTGAGACAGAGGAAATAATGAGACAGAGGGAGTAAATAATGGTGAGGCAGAGGAGTAAATAATGGTGAGACAGAGGAGTAAATATTGGTGAGGCAGAGGAGTAAATATTGGTGGAGTAAATAATGGTGAGGCAGAGAGTAAATAATGGTAAGGCAGAGGAGTAAATAATGGTGAGGCAGAGAGTAAGTGAGGCAGAGGAGTAATATTGGTGAGTAATGGTGAGCAGGAGTAAATAATGGTGAGGACAGAGGAGTAAATAATGGTGAGGCAGAGGAGTAAATAATGGTGAGGCAGAGGAGTAAATAATGGTGAGGCAGAGGAGTAAATAATGGTGAGGCAGAGGGAGTAAATAATGGTGAGGCAAGGAGTAAATGGTGAGAGACAGAGGAGTAAATAATGGTGAGGCAGAGGAGTAAATAATGGTGAGGCAGAGGAGTAAATAATGGTGAGGCAGCTGAGTAAATAATGGTGAGGCAGAGGAGTAAATAATGGTGAGTAAATACAGAGGAGTAAATAATGGTGAGGCAGAGGAGTAAATAATGGTGAGGGTAGGCAGAGGAGTAAATAATGGTGAGGACAGAGGAGTAAATAATGGTGAGGCAGAGGAGTAAATAATGGTGAGGCAGAGGAGTAAATAATGGTGAGGCAGAGGAGTAAATAATGGTGAGTAAATAATGGCAGAGGAGTAAATAATGGTGAGGCAGAGGAGTAAATAATGGTGAGGCAGAGGAGTAAATAATGGTGAGTCAGAGGACTAAATAATGGTGAGACAGAGGAGTAAATAATGGTGAGACAGAGGAGTAAATAATGGTGAGGCAGAGGAGTAAATAATGGTGAGACAGAGGAGTAAATAATGGTGATGGTGGACAGAGGAGTAAATAATGGTGAGGCAGAGGAGTAAATAATGAGTGATGGTGACAGAGGGAGTAAATAATGGTGAGGCAGAGGAGTAAATAATGGTGAGACAGAGGAGTAAATAATGGTGAGGCAGAGGAGTAAATAATGGTGAGGCAGAGGAGTAAATAATGGTGAGGCAGAGGAGTAAATAATGGTGTAAATAATGGTGGCAGAGGAGTAAATAATGGTGAGGCAGAGGAGTAAAGAATGGTGAGGCAGCGGAGTAAATAATGGTGAGGCAGAGGAGTAAATAATGGTGAGGCAGAGGAGTAAATAATGGTGAGGCAGAGGAGTAAATAATGGTGAGTCAGAGGAGTAAATAATGGTGAGGCAGAGGAGTAAATAATGGTGAGACAGAGGAAAAAATAATGGTGAGACAGAGGAGTAAATAATGGTGAGACAGAGGAGTAAATAATGGTGAGGCAGAGGAGTAAATAATGGTGAGGCAGAGGAGTAAATAATGGTGAGACAGAGGAGTAAATAATGGTGAGGCAGAGGGAGTAAATAATGGTGAGGCAGAGGAGTAAATAATGATGAGGACGAGGGAGTAAATAATGGTAAGGCAGAGGAGTAAATAATGGTGAGGCAGAGGAGTAAATATTGGTGAGGCAGAGGAGTAAATATTGGTGGAGTAAATAATGGTGAGGCAGAGAAGTAAATAATGGTGAGACAGAGGAGTAAATAATGGTGAGGCAGAGGGAGTAAATAATGGTGAGGCAGAGGAGTAAATAATGATGAGGACGAGGGAGTAAATAATGATGAGGACGAGGGAGTAAATAATGGTGAGGCAGAGGAGTAAATAATGGTGAGACAGAGGAGTAAATAATGGTGAGGCAGAGGAGTAAATAATGATGAGGATGAGGGAGTAAATAATGGTAAGGCAGAGGAGTAAATAATGGTGAGACAGAGGAAAAAATAATGGTGAGACAGAGGAGTAAATAATGGTGAGACAGAGGAGTAAATAATGGTGAGACAGAGGAGTAAATAATGGTGAGGCAGAGGAGTAAATAATGGTGAGGCAGAGGAGTAAATAATGGTGAGGCAGCAGAGTAAATAATGGTGAGGCAGAGGGAGTAAATAATGGTGAGGCAGAGGAGTAAATAATGATGAGGACGAGGGAGTAAATAATGGTGCGGCACAGGAGTAAATAATGGTGAGACAGGAAAAAATAATGGTGAGACAGAGGAGTAAATAATGGTGAGACAGAGGAGTAAATAATGGTGAGGCAGAGGAGTAAATAATGGTGAGGCAGAGGAGTAAATAAAATGGTGTTATTTCACCAAATAGACCAGGATTTTACTATCTGATTGGGTGTTAAAATGTGTGGGGCCACATGCTAGACCAATCCACTTCTTTTCAGATTGGGTACTTTAGTTTTTTTCTTGAGACCATATTATTTAAGACCCTTGTGTACCTCTATTAAGACTAACAAAAGTGAATGATGAAGATGCTCAATATGTTTTACAATTATTGTTAAAGACATAAAGATAAATATGTTAGTTAAACATACATTTGTACCTTTTGTTGACTGCCTGGCTAAAGCATCATTATTTTAGTGAAAAATGTCTTAAATAACACAATCAAAACACATATTTTCACTCCCAAAAGATCATATATTCCATTGGATAATAAAGGCTTTACTTCCCTTATAAATGTTTATAATGAAATTAAAAGTCATTGGATTAGGGATTTGGTTCAAAATGGCTTAGTGTATATATACATACACAAAACATTTAATGATTTATAACTCATGCATCACATTTTGATTTTAAAATGTGATTTTATCAAGACCTACAGTAAAATGAGTTTAATCATGATAGCTAAACGAATAAAGTAAAATCATACAGTAAAAATCTGTCCGTCATATATTTCCTAGGTAACACCAGTGTATACTTTCCAACATACCATCGTGAGGCAGAGGGTGAGAGGTGAAACAAAATCAACGGTAGGTACTGGTTCTTCTGTCGCAAACTGTTGTATGCTCTTTCCTATATCTAAAATAGCAACCACAGCCAGTAGCACAGCCAACACCTGCAAAAACAACAACACAGGCATATACATACAAAACTGTTATATGAACTTCAAATTGATGAAACAAGTGGCAAATATGACCAAAGGCAAACTCTACTTCAAGACCATTGAAAAGTAAAGGGGAATAAGCCGAGGTGTTTGTTAAAGTGAAAATAAAAACTTGTATTAGAACATTTCTTCTTCACCAAACAAGGACCAGAGATTGTTGGGATCGGATCATTTTATATAATGACCATCTTATATTTTATCTATATAACATTGGCCCTGAAACATAATTGGGTATTAGTTGGCATCTAGTTCTTACTTTAAAATAATATCATCTTCAGGAATCTATAAGGAAAAATATCTAGACCGCTGGTACCTGGCTTCATATGCAGTTACTTGGGATAGATGCTAAGGGGTATGTAACATTTCTGTATTCTGACACCAAGGGCTCGTATAGATCACATTGATCAGTTCTGGAGACGGAAAGACTTAAAATACTTTTTAAAATTAAGTAGAATAAAGAAATTTGTGATATCTGCCAGTTGATAGCTAGTGACTTTAAGGTAATGACTTGTCATGATCATATCTTGATTTGAATCCAACTTGGTACTTACTGTTTTGAGTATGTTTAGACATGAAAAGGGAATTGTTGGTGTCTGGCTCTTGGTGAGGAAATAAATGTGAAATGGGGTGACAAGTACCAAGAAGGCACAAGGGATCCACAGAATCACTGTCTTCTGGAAACATGCACTGAAGTCGGGATCTGTTGTGTTCCATGTCTGCTGCTCATCCTATCAATGGAGAATAACACTTTTTGATTTCAAATTGAAATGTTTCTTTTAATTTCCAAAAAATCCTGAAATATATAGACTGCACTAGACTTCAACAAATGTGGTCAAAAAGGAGTGTGATTATAGAACGTTTATTCTCATCAATTAAATGACATGGTCATGCATACATTAATAACTAGTTTGCATATCGCCAACAGATCAAAACAACATCAGATCAGTCAATGAATTATGTTTCTTAAATGGTATTTATATATATATAAACATAGGTACATACACATAATGATATGAAAAAAGAGAATATTAACTGACCGTAAGTACAGTAATTACAAGGGTACATACATTTATATACAAATGTGTACAAAGTATAGAATATAAGACATATCTGGTATTTCATTAAGATTACCATGACATAAAATAAGGTAGTTCTGACCATTGTCATGAATCCTAGATCTAGACTTTATATCTATGCTAATCAAAATACACTGCACATGTATGTTTAATTTTAACACTTTTTTCACTGAAAACTGTGAAAAATTTATCACAGACAATTCAAAATCACATGCTTTTAAAAATTAAAATAGGAAAAACGTCATCAAAGCAACAATATGCAGTCAATAGCCATCATATTTATTCCAAATTTTAAAGGAAAAAAACATAAACAATGAAGTATTATTTTTGTAACAAAATTCAGAACTAGAAATATCATGCATTGCTTTTACATTAAAATACGTCATTGTTTGAGCATTTCTATAATTAACAAGTCATTAAGACATTTGTTTTCAAGATTTCTAAAATCTATATTCCAGTGACACCGGGATACTTTCCCGATTGTTTGATTAACAAGTATTTGTAATATGTTAAGATCGCCACAAAACTATATTTTTTTCATATTTCACAAACTAAAGACATCTAATAAATTCGACAGACTGTATGAGTCTCGAATCTCAGACACTGACAGAAATTCAGATATCCTGCAAAGTTGAGCTTATCTGTGTATACAGTAATCCTCTCTCATTTTGAAGATCATGATCTTGACGTTTTGACGGCCAAAGTGTCTCGGGGTAAACAACCAAAACCGTACGCTATGATCAGTTGATTTTATCAATGAGAATGAATCGGAAATTCAACATCAATATAACAGGCGACCGAAACAATATAATTTATCCATAACTTACAAAAAATGGAGAATTACAGAATCCTCCTCCCCTTTCATCCATGCTAGAGTCTAACACCGGAAGTACAATCGACATGGTAAAATATGTGGCGTTCCTTATATCCGGATTTTCAGTCGGCGCACCTGTAATAAATTTTTTGCTGTATCACGATTATCTAAACCCGGCAATTCGCTATCAGTTTGTTATTGATTACATTCCGAATAGTTTGAATACTACCATAGGCAGAAATTACACATATGGATCATATATCCTTTTTTATTTGTTCAAGACAAGAACCTCTTGTACATTTAATACCAGAGAGCATCAAATTGCTACATTTTTTGGTTGCTTCCAGGACAAAGTTATCTTTTAAAAGCGTACGGTTACTTTATGAATTCAATGCTACAGTATGGGGGAAAAGGAATTTGCGACGGAGTATCAATTAAAAAGTGTTCACGCAACATTTAATTAAGTTACGATATTACTGACGTCTATAGTTAGTTTATCATGTATGGGTGGTTTTAGCCGTGATACTAGTATAAGTACTAACAGTTCATGTAGTTGTCCTATAGATTACAGGGGCGTTTAATACAGGATTGTACGTCCTTGTTCATTATCAGATACCCTGTAAGGACTCCTGTGTATCTTTTAAGGGAGCTGGATAACATAGCTGTAGTAGATCCTGACTTGCATGCGACCCTGATGAGGAGACACTACAAGCTAATTAAGGGATCTTTCGGTGTGTATCTTGTTTAGAATATATATAGGATCCGGTTAGGTTATTTATTTAATGACTCTGTTTATTGATTTAACGGGTTTTACGTCCATCATAAGGGCCTTTCACTGGACGAGAAAAGATGGAGAAATGAGCAGAGAGAAATAGTGTGAAGCGATGGGAGTGACTGGGATACTGAAATAAGACAAAGAAGGTTCGCCTATACTACCAGACCTGGTTTTAAACTATATTTTGAAGACGACCCTTTGGCGCAATTATCATAGCTCTAACTTAACTGTCTTGTACCCGTCAAGAAATAGTCTTTTTAAGATAGCGAACGAAGAGGGACACAAAATGTAGGTGCTCATGATCACTTTTATTGCTTATTGCTGTTATGGCCATAAATAAGCTTTTAAGCGATGAATTATTTATGCTCATCGCCCTAGTAATATTCACTAAACGAAGGAAAACAATCTTGTTTACGTTACGGACTGGTACGCAGAAATATATAGGAACCTGGACAGGAAAAGTTACGGATTGGTTCCAAAGTCATATAAACCCTTATTTACAAGACATAAGTCAGGGTAACAGTTCATGGTTAGTTCTACCTTACCGCGCATCGTGAGTCGGTTTTTTATGGTGGATGATTCGGGACATCGTGATATCGCTTCATTTAATGGGAAGCGATATTGCGATATCACGATACCACGATGCGATACCACGATATCGCATCGTTCTATCGTAGTATCGCATCGTTCTATCGTAATATCGCAATCTCGCTTCCCATTAAACGAAGCGATATTACGATGTCCCGAATCAGCCATCATAGTTTTTCCATATGACAATGTCGCGAGCTTGGGCATACTGTTGTACCATTTACATTTAAAAGAGGAGTTTCTTGATGTCGCTTTAGTCACCTGCGAGAGAAGAATTAGACGCAGGGCATCAAAACTTACTTATGTAATGACATAAAATGTGGGAGTGCGCGATATTGACTTACAGAGAGTACAGTATACGGAAATTAAGTGTCGTTGCTTTGAACGTTTGAAGTCCAATTTCTTCGATAAACCGGAGTCAAAACTTCCAGAATCTCTTGCCGATTTCATAATTCTATCTGGCAATTAACATTACTATTATCATATGCTTTACACATCTGATTCAGCCCAATGATACAACTTCGCAGTATATAGCTACATTTAATACAATCATTTGTCTCGTATGTCGGTGGGAACACAAATGCACGTTTCTACAAGAATACGTATTGGCCTTTATGAGACCGTGCGGTCGGAAGGGAGACCAGTTTAAAACTGTCCCTATGATTTACGGAAGCTGGGCAATTGTTATTGTAACCTTCTCTGATACACAGTTGACTCATTATCTGTCAAAGTTTTTTTCTTAAATGCGAAAATAAACAGAATGTACACAATTCAAAAGGAGCTGGAACCTTTACGTAAACTATAAGGGGAAACTGTTATGTGACAGGGATCTATAACATAGAGGAGGTCCGAATCCTTATAGAAATGTATTTAATGTGACATTTGTCAGAGGTTTTATTTTCACACGTTGAAGCCATCACGAAGCTCATTTAAAAAAAAACTATGTAACATGGGATGAGGTACCAGTAGCTGAAGTAACATTTCATCTGAAGCAGAAACTTTGGAACTTCGAGAAAGTGGTACTTTTGTACCTCTCTGTTATACATGGCCGCATTAGACATCACTGTAGTGGCCTGCGTTCAGATTTATATAGGGTTGGTATTTGCCAATCCCCGAATTGTCCGCGCGGTGATGGTATTAAAGACGCAATTCATTACTTCCCTACATGTTCATTGTTTTTTAATTGTAGACGTATATTGTTTGATACTTAGTATAATTTTGACGTAGATTTTAATAAAGAAACTATCTTTTGGGGCGACAGTGGTGTTTACTTATATGAAACTAATTGTGATATTGTCAGATCTGTTCAAAAGTTTATGAACCAAACAAAGCGTTTTAACACTACCTAATTCTGAACTGTTTAAGTCGGCACTGAATTGATATAAAATTGATATAATATCTATAATATATTTTTCTCTTCTTCTCTTTCTATCCTATCTTCTCATTTTTCCTACTTTTGACAAAACGAATTAAACTTACAATTGTACGTCTACAAATTACATATCTTCATGTTTATCATGTTTATAGTATACATATGTCACATGCAGTATATTAACTATCTGTAATTTTGTTTATGGAGAAGAGTTCATAAGTTGCTAGAACTTGTCTCCGATCCATTTATCTGCTACTGATAATAAAATATGTTTAAATCAACCATTTGTACTTTTCGAATGCAAATTGTTCTGTCAAGACCGATATCTAACTTTAGGATCACCGATATTTCTATTTATTTTTTTTTCGTACAAATTTTTTCAGTTCCAGCTTGGACCAGGAAATCTAACATCTTGAAAATGGGAACAAGCCTTTGAATATCGAATCAACTATGACATATAAACGCCATAGGTTGAGGATGCAGGAACGTTGCTATCTAAAAAAGGAATATTTACAATAGGGGAGATATCAAATTTTTTTTTATTATGGTACTTTTTCACTTTGAATCCTATTATAGTCATTTACAGAACCAATCCATAACCGAACTGGATCTGTTTTTGGAACCAATCCGTAACGTATACAATATTGTTTTCCTTCGTTTTTGTGAATATTATAGGGCGATGTAATTAACATATCGCTTAAAAGCGGATGTTATTGGAGTGTCTCCCCGATAATGAAAATAAACCTTAGACTGCTTAAATATTTCGATAAAATATCACTGCAAGTCTCGCCTCGTTGCCGAGTTCAACAGTTCGCTCAACTTTGCGAAGGGCTAACTATTACTTCTGAATATCGCAGAACCATACAAATAGTGTAATGCAAATCTTGAGTATTTCTGAGTTTCGCGTGTTCCGGTTAGATTGTATTCATAAACCAGTTAATTTTTATCTTAAAATGAACTCATACATTTTGTGATCTGCTACGTCCGCCATCTTGAAAAGACCATTCCTAAACGGGTACACGAAAGTACTAGAGCCCATGCTGCTGTCTATAAACGCCAATTAGAGCTTAATTAAAACCAAAGAAAATATTCATAGTCAATCAAAAAATTACTTAACAATTAAACTTACTCATATATACTATTTATTATGTGTATAAGAAGACCAGAACAAGGGCGAGATAAGTCAACGAGCTTCCGGTTTGAAAAGTTTTAGGACTGGAGAGAGAGAAAAAAAGAAAAACATGGCGGATGTCTTTTATGAAGCAAAAAATGCTAACTCTCCCAGAATGCATTGTTTTATTATCCTTTCACTTTTAAAGACTACCGTGTAAATATTTCTCTTGTTCACATTTTATGATCATTTCATCGATTTTAATTTTTTTCAAAATCTTGTTGACATGTCTATATTTGTTGTTGTTATTTTTGTATTGAAAGGTGCTATTCACTTTTGGGTGGCTTACTTGATACTTCTCTAGAATAAATAAATCACTGTTAACTGATAGTGTGACTCTCAACATAAGAGAACAATCGGGAAATTGTTCGTCTTTACGATATTCCGTTGTGCTTTGTCATTCATTCAAAACATAAAAAGACGTCGACCATTGAAGAAAAATATACTGATAATTTGACTTACTACTACATATTTTCCGACGTGTCAAATAGAGGCCAGTTTCTGTAATAGCTGTTCTAATTTCTTTCTGTAAATAGTTACATACACTTACCACAATGTGGTTTATTCCTTCACTGACTAGCATACAGCAGTGTTGACTCTATAGGTCCTCCCCCAACTGGGAACGCGCGGTTTCCATCTTGACCCATTCTCCAGCTGGATCGGGCCCCTCCCTACACGAGCACGCGTACCTTTACGATCAACATCTGGTGATTCACAAATCTTTAAAATCCACCAGTGGCTGTACTAAAACATCGATTGAGTTAACTGTTGGAATGCGACATAGGTTATAAACCTTTCGTGGTATTTAGGCGACTATGCATTAAATTGGCGACATCCAGCAAAAATTAATACGTATTTACATCACTTTCACTCAAACAGACGTGCGTGGATCCAATCCAATCACTTCATATTGCAATGTCATTCATTGAGAATTATTTTTAGATTTATAACGTTTTATGAAAGGCTAGGTTTGATTGACATGTGTAAATAGACATTTCTTAAAGGATGAGTGCCGGCATAGTTGAGTGATCATAATGATAGATATTCGGCTCGGTATTATGTGTACCTGCTCGACCTTTGCATTTATTTCTTGATTAAAAATTCAGATCGCTTTTAAAGCCTGGTAATTTGCTTTCAGATTTTGGACGAGCCCTACCAGTAACAGCGAGGTTTTTAATATTT